GTTCTACTCTTTCCTCTTTATTTCACAGACTTTTCTTCTTTAAGACACATAACTGACACAGTTCAGACAGAGATTTCATTGAAACATATAGTTCAGACAGAGATTTCATTGAAACATACAGTTCAGATAGGGATTTCATTGAAACATACAGTCCAGATAGAGATTTCAACAAAACAAAGTCCAGATAGGGATTTCATTGAAGCATACAGTCAAGATAGGGATTTCATTGAAACATACAGTCCAGATAGAGATTCCATTGAAACATACAGTTCAGATAGAGATTTCATTGAAACATACAGTTCAGACAGAGATTTCATTGAAGCATACAGTCAAGATAGGGATTTCATTGAAACATACAGTCCAGATAGAGATTTCATTGAAACATACAGTTCAGATAGAGATTTCATTGAAACATACAGTTCAGACAGAGATTTCATTGAAGCATACAGTCCAGATAGGGATTTCATTGAAACATACAGTCCAGATAGAGATTTCATTGAAACATACAGTTCAGATAGAGATTTCATTGAAACATACAGTTCAGACAGAGATTTCATTGAAGCATACAGTCCAGATAGGGATTTCATTGAAACATACAGTCCAGATAGAGATTTCATTGAAACATACAGTTCAGATAGAGATTTCATTGAAACATACAGTTCAGACAGAGATTTCATTGAAGCATACAGTCCAGATAGGGATTTCATTGAAACATACAGTCCAGATAGAGATTTCATTGAAACATACAGTTCAGATAGAGATTTCATTGAAACATACAGTTCAGACAGAGATTTCATTGAAGCATACAGTCCAGATAGGGATTTCATTGAAACATACAGTCCAGATAGAGATTTCATTGAAACATACAGTTCAGATAGAGATTTCATTGAAACATACAGTTCAGACAGAGATTTCATTGAAGCATACAGTCCAGATAGGGATTTCATTGAAACATACAGTCCAGATAGAGATTTCATTGAAACATACAGTTCAGATAGAGATTTCATTGAAACATACAGTTCAGACAGAGATTTCATTGAAACATACAGTCCAGATAGGGATTTCATTGAAACATAGTCCAGATAGAGATTCCATTGAAACATACAGTCCAGATAGGGATTTCATTGAAACATACAGTCCCGATATAGATTCCATTGAAACATACAGTTCAGATAGAGATTTCATTGAAACATACAGTCCAGATAGGGATTTCATTGAAACATAGTCCAGATAGAGATTCCATTGAAACATAGTCCAGATAGAGATTTCATTGAAACATACAGTTCAGATAGGGATTTCATTGAAACATAGTCCAGATAGAGATTTCATTGAAACATACAGTTCAGATAGGGATTTCATTGAAACATACAGTTCAGATAGAGATTTCATTGAAACATACAGTCCAGATAGGGATTTCATTGAAACATAGTCCAGATAGAGATTCCATTGAAACATAGTCCAGATAGAGATTTCATTGAAACATACAGTTCAGATAGGGATTTCATTGAAACATAGTCCAGATAGAGATTTCATTGAAACATACAGTTCAGATAGGGATTTCATTGAAACATACAGTTCAGACAGAGATTTCATTGAAACATACAGTCCAGATAGGGATTTCATTGAAACATAGTCCAGATAGAGATTCCATTGAAACATACAGTTCAGATAGGGATTTCATTGAAACATACAGTCCAGATAGAGATTCCATTGAAACATACAGTCCAGATAGGGATTTCATTGAAACATACAGTCCAGATAGAGATTCCATTGAAACATAGTCCAGATAGAGATTTCAACAAAACAAAGTCCAGACAGAGATTTCATTGAAACATACAGTCCAAATAGGAATTTCAACGAAACAATGTCAAGATAGGGATTTCAACGAAACAAAGTCAAGATATTGATTTCATTGAACAAGGATATCCACATGATATGAAGTTCAGAGAGATATTTCCATATAAACTCTAGACATACATTCTTCCAAACAATCTAACTGACTATTTGGGGCCGCGGTGGCCAACTGGTTAAGGCGTCTAACATTCTGCTACCATTAGCCCTTCACCACTGGGTCCCGAGTTTGAGGCCTACGTGGGGCAGTAGCCAGGTACTGACCANCTTACTTTTTTCTCAATCCCCATCCCTTTCCTGACCTCTCCCTTGCCCCTTTCTCAGTCCCCATCCCTCCCCTGCCTCTTCCTTGCCCCTTTTTTAATCCCACATCCCTCCCCTGCCTCTCCCTTACTTCTTTCTCAATCCCCATCCCTTCCCTGACCCCTCCTATGCCCCTTTCTCAATCCCCCATCCCTCCCCTGCCTTTCCCTTACTTCTTTCTCAATCCTCATCCCTGACCTCTCCTATGCCCCTTTCTCAATCCCCCATCCCTCCCCTGCCTCTCCCTTACTTCTTTCTCAATCCCCATCCCTTCCCTGACCCCTCCTATGCCCCTTTCTCAATCCCCCATCCCTCCCCTGCCTTTCCCTTACTTCTTTCTCAATCCTCATCCCTGACCTCTCCTATGCCCCTTTCTCAATCCCCCATCCCTCCCCTGCCTCTCCCTTACTTCTTTCTCAATCCCCATCCCTTCCCTGACCCCTCCTATGCCCCTTTCTCAATCCCCCATCCCTCCCCTGCCTTTCCCTTACTTCTTTCTCAATCCTCATCCCTGACCTCTCCTATGCCCCTTTCTCAATCCCCCATCCCTCCCCTGCCTCTCCCTTACTTCTTTCTCAATCCCCATCCCTTCCCTGACCCCTCCTATGCCCCTTTCTCAATCCCCCATCCCTCCCCTGCCTTTCCCTTACTTCTTTCTCAATCCTCATCCCTGACCTCTCCTATGCCCCTTTCTCAATCCCCCATCCCTCCCCTGCCTCTCCCTTACTTTTTTCTCAATCCCCATCCCTTCCCTGACCCCTCCTATGCCCCTTTCTCAATCCCCCATCCCTCTTCTGCCTCTCCCTTACATTTTTCTCAATCCCCAGCCCTTCCATGGCCCTCTCCCTTGCCCCTTTCTCAATCTCCATCTCTTCCTTGCCCTCTCCCTTCTCAATCCACCATCCCTAGCCTACTCCAATCCCCTCTTTTGCCCTTATTGCCAATCCCCCATGAACAATTTCAGAAACTCCACAGAGTGGTGGGAAAGTTTTCTACACAGAAATAAATGGATGCCATGCTGGTTTGGTTACTGAATCAAAGAAATAAATTTAGCTTAATGAAATATTTGTTGTATCTACCGAACACATTTTATAAATCACTTTATCCCCTCAAAATTTAACTACAAATCATTTCACTAACATCAGAGCTGTGATACTACATCTTTAACCCTTTCACCTCTAGGTAACTTTAGTAGACTCTAACATGCATTGATCTGGATGAGTCCATTATGGTCTACAGTGGTGAAAGGGTTAACTGAACAAACAAGCCATCCCCTGATGACTTCACAGTGAAGTATAGTGTTAAAGTTTTGGGAGACACTTGAATTTTCAAAATCATCCATTTTCTTCATATTAAATATAAGTTCATCATCATTTCTTGTTTAAATTTTTATATCTTTACATACTTGAAATATATATGGCAGGAAAGAAAACCAAATTCCTATTTGACCCAACATTTGACTTTAGAATCTGAAGGGGGTTTCTTTGCCATTTCTCTGGAAAGGAGAATCCAATGATCACACTAAGATTCTGACTTGGGAAAATCTGAACTTAGTGCCAAGGACCCATATATGTGACAAATTCTAATGGAAATGTATGTGCTTTAAAAGAAAATAATAGGTAACCCTTCACAATGTCAATACTGGAGCATTCCTCTGGTCTACTGATGGAATACATCAACAATTTGATAAAATTTGTCCCATTAGGGACTGATTATAAACCTTTGATCCATACACACAGTCGAGACCGTTTTATATGTCTTATCTCCATATATATATGGGGGATTCCTGTATCGGCAGAACTAGAACTAACTGATTTATATACATAGTCTTAGATTACCTGTAACAAACGATGTTCAGTAATTAGCCCACCCTCTTGTTGTGTTAACATGTCCTCTGTAGATATAAGTCACTTGATACTGACTTGTTTAAAAGTACAATATATATTTCACACGGGTGAACCATCAAGTCATGCAGTTACTGAACTTTAGTATTTTTTACAGTTTCACTACAACCAGGAAAACTGAAAAAGTAGATGCACAGCTGAAGTGTCACCTTATAAAGAGGCTGAATATCATACAGAGTGGTCAAATTCACAAATATATTAAGACCAGTACGAATTTCCTTTTTCAGGAACAATACACCTCTGGGCCTATCACAGGTAAAATAAGGCATGGTAACATACACAGCCTCCATTGAACCCACGCAAACCTGACTACTAACTTACATCTTGCCAAGAAGGAAGTCAGCCGTAGATATCACCTCTGTCCCGTAACCTGTTGTGCAATGGCAGACTGCATTGCAGATTTGTGTTGCAACAAGACATATGTCTGTATTCTGCTGCAGCTTACGGCTGCAACCTCATGAGTGCATGCAATCAGAAATTGCATTCCAGATCAAAAGGTCAAATATCAGAATGTCGGTTACAAGATCTCATTATGAGGTATATGTATATAGTGACTTGTGATAATTAAGCCAATCAGGGTTTTATCTGAGGAGAAGGGAGAAATTGGGATATCAGCTTTATGGAAAAACAGTTTCATTTCAAGAAATATCCATAAATTGTAAAATCTGCTCAGCAAGAGTCGTTAGCTTATTATGGAGAACGTTCTACTGTTATACAGTGTGTATGTAAATACAAATAAATATCCCTTCATTAACTCTTTCACCCCTATGTAACTGTAGTAGACTCTACCTATGGATGAGTCAATTATGGTCTACAGTGGTGAAAGGGTTAACATGCAAAATTTATAATTTCAAAAGCATGAAACATTTAATCCTGTATTTGGCACTTAAACAATCATACATTATAATTTTATTATGTCAAAATCGAATTAATATGACTCACCTGTAAGTCTTGCACCTGTCCTTTTACACCTGTATTTTCCTGACGAGTTTGTGTCCACACAGGTAATTCATAACAGATCCCAAGAGTATATTGATTTTGAAGACGAATATCACTGGGTTATGATTAAACCGTTCCAGGTGTATACTTCCACAACACTCAACAGTGGCCACAATATCTCACCTGGAATCAATCAATAAAACGTGTCTACAAAATACCCGACACATGTATATTCATTAAACATAAATACGATATTCAGAAAAGCAAACATTGAGATTAGTTTTCAGTCACTTTGAATCAATGCTTTTTGTAGACGTTTATATTTAATTCACTGAATGTCTGACTGCATGTGTTTAAATACGAGTTATTTCAAGTATTACCTGGAGAAAATCTATAAATACCAAGAATAGCCAAACACCAAAAGCCCCATGCAATGCCCAGCAGGTTAATTGACAAATGACCGGTATAATTTAAATTTTGCGTGGTTACTGGTCAAATCAATAATGTGAGGTTCAATATATATAACAGTGGTCTGTAATGTGACCTGTCAATTGTGTATCATTTGACAAATTTTCACCTGAAAAAAAAAAATCAATTAGCACCACCACATGATATAGTACGTCCGACTACACACGCAATGGTTCCGACGCTAAAAATCCATTCGTGGTCACTAATTTGTAAGTAGCAGTCTACTAGCTGGTCACTGGAGAAAATTTCACACAGCATCACGGCAGCAAAACTACATTAGATATAGGATGACCACAGCATCCTGATTATAATGAGTCTGGCCACAGCATGCACCTGTAGGCATTACCTGTGGTGTTTACACATGAGCCCATTAGCCATACCGTTCTGTATTGTCCAGGTGTGTCCACTATCACAGATAATCTGATACAGGACGAATGTAGTAGAAACACAGGTAAATATAAAAGACTTACAGAAAATCCACTGTTATATCTCAGGTATTTTCCAGGTACACACATATATAACTGGTGAATTACTATATAGTTTTAAAGCTTATCTCGACTCGTTAGCGTCCAGGTAGCACAGGGCTACCGATACTCAGGTACACACCTGAACACTTCGTTGACAGGTAACACTCTGATCCTATAATGTCTATCTACCCTACTTACACCCGAGTACCCAGCGAAATGTTCGGATACGCTTCAGCTGGTTTTGTCCATTTCTCCAAGCAGACCCAAATTGTCGCGTATGTAACAGCTTTGTTCCATGCTAAGAAGCCAATTACGATATTACAATGGTATCGGTCGTGGCTGGGAGAGGTCAGGCATCGGTTACACCTGAGTAGCTCCTTTGTTTGTATTTGCATATGAATATTGCATTGTTGAAATATATACACAGAATTAAAGCAATGTTATATATGTGGTATACACTATTGTTATTCTAGGGCAAAATATACCTGAGTCTGAACCGACACTGCTAATGTACGCAAAATTAACGAGACAATTTGTAGCTCAACACATAAAATAAAAAAATATTTGAAGCATTATCTGACTTTTTTAGGCTGCTTAAAGGGATATAAAGCTGATGGTGAGATGAAAGGCAAACCTGTATCTGTTTGACTACCTCAGTTATTTCCTTATATGACGTACACTGTACATACTGACACCTGTACAAACTGACACAGGCTCTGATAGAAGTGTATTTTACCTTTTTCCCACCCAACACTTAAATCTAATCTACAAGCCTCTGTATAGTGGCCTCGTGGCTGAATGTGTGTCCTCACTACTTTGGAGTCCAGGGTCATGGGTACGGTGTTTTTCTGTGACATCTTATCACAATTGTGATAGACTGTTCTACTTACTGGTATTGAGACAGTAATGTATCCAAATATACCACCTGTCTATGACTACAACATGTCAGTTACTAATTCCTGTCTATAACTATCACCTGTCTATAACTATCACCTGTCTATAACTACTACCTGTCTATAACTACTACCTGCCTATAACTACTACCTATCTATAACTACTACCTATCTATAACTACTACCTGTCTATAACCACTACCTGTCTATAACTACCACCTGTCTATAACTACTACCTGTCTATAACTACTACCTGTCTATAACTACTACCTATCTATAACTATTACCTGTCTATAACTGCTACCTGCCTATAACTACTACCTGTCTACAACGTATACCTGTCTATAACTACTACCGGTATATAACTACTATCTATCTAAACCTATCACCTGTCTATAACTACTGCCTGTCAATAACTACAACCTGTCTATAACTACTACCTGTCTGTAACTACTACCTGTATATTACTACTACCTGTCTATAACTACTACCTGTTTATAACTGCTACCTGTCTATAACTACTACCTGTCTATAACTGCTACCTGCCTATAACTTCTACCTGTCTACAACTTCTACCTGCCTATAACTACTACCTGCCTATAACTACTACCTGTCTACAGCGTATACCTGTCTATAACTACTACCTGTCTATAACTAGTATCTATCTAAACCTATCACCTGTCTATAACTACTGCCTGTCAATAACTACAACCTGTCTATAACTACTACCTGTATGTAACTACTACCTGTCTATAACTACTACCTGCATATAACTACTACCTGTCTACAACTTCTACCTGTCTATGGTATATAACTACTATCTATCTAAACCTATCCCCTGTCTATAACTACTACCTGTCTGTAACTACTACCTGTATATTACTACTACCTGTTTATAACTACTACCTGTCTATTACTACTACCTGTCTATAGCTGCTACCTGCCTATAACTACTACCTGTCTACAGCGTATACCTGTCTATAACTACTACCTGTCTCCAACGTATACCTGTTTATAACTACTACCTGTCTATAACTACTACCTGCATATAACTACTACCTGTCTACAACTTCTACCTGTCTATGGTATATAACTACTATCTATCTAAACCTATCTCCTGTCTATAACTACTGCCTGTCAATAACTACAACCTGTCTATAACTACTGCCTGTCTGTAACTACTACCTGTATATTACTACTACCTGTCTATAACTACTCCCTGTTTATAACTGCTACCTGTCTATAACTACTGCCTGTCTATAACTACAACCTGTCTATAACTACTACCTGTATGTAACTACTACCTGTCTATAACTACTACCTGTCTATAACTATTACCTGTCTATAACTACTACCTGTCTACAACGTATACCTGTTTATAACTACTACCTATCTATAACTACTACCTGTCTATAACTGCTACCTGCCTATAACTACTACCTGTCTACAACGTATACCTGTCTATAACTACTACCTGTCTATAACTACTATCTATCTAAACCTATCACCTGTCTATAACTACTACCTGTCTGTAACTACTACCTGTATATTACTACTACCTGTCTATAACTACTACCTGTTTATAACTACTACCTGTCTATTACTACTACCTGTCTATAACTGCTACCTGCCTATAACTACTACCTGTCTACAATGTATACCTGTCTATAACTACTACCTGTATATAACTACTATCTATCTAAACCTATCACCTGTCTATAACTACAACCTGTCAATAACTACTACCTGTCTATAACTACTACCTGTCTGTAACTACTACCCGTCTCTAACTACTATCTGTATATTACTACTACCTGTCTATAACTACTACCTGACTATAACTACTACCTGCCTTTAACTACTACCTGTCTATAACTACTACCTGTCTGTAACTACTATCTGTATATTACTACTACATTTCTATAACTACTACCTGTTTATAACTACTACCTGTCTATAACTACTACCTGTCTATAACTACCACCTATATATAACTACTACCTGTCTATAACTATCACCTGTCTGTAACTACTACCTGTATATTACTACTACCTGTTTATAACTACTACCTGTCTACAACTTCTACCTGTCTATAACTACTACCTGTCTACAACTTCTACCTGTCTATAACTACTACCTGTCTACAACTTTCACCTGTCTGTAACTACTACCTGTATATTACTACTACCTGTCTATAACTACTACCTATCTATAACTACTACCTGTCTATGATTACTACCTGTCTATAACTACTACCTGTCTATAACTACTACCAGTCTATCACTACTACCTGTCTATAACTATTACCTGTCTATAACTACGATCTTTCTATAACTACCACCTGTCTGTAACTACTACCTATCTATAACTACTACCTGTCTATAACTACTACCTATCTATAATTATCACCTGTCTATAACTCCCACCTGTCTGTTACTACTGCCTGTCTATAACTACTACCTGTCTATAACTACGATCTGTCTATAACTATACTACCTGTCTATTACTTCAAACTGTCTACAACTACCTACTAACTGTCTGTAACTATCACCTGTCTATATTTACATTTGCATGGCATTGTCACTATATAGCCTCTTTGAAAGCTGTGTCGTTGATGGGACTTTAAGTACCATGCATCACGAGACACAATTCAGAATTCTAAAGCGTATTAATAAAACACTGACCTGAACTACAATATCCAATATAAATCAACATGACGGTTGCTGAAATATGGCTGGGCATTGTGAGATTTGACAATGCCANGTCTGCAATATCGTACAAAATGCACATCGGTTGAAATCACCAATGCCGGCAATGGAAACAATTTTAACGCTCATGCAATTTAGCAGAAATATCGTCTGTTACACTGCACTGATCAACAGGGGTTCGTTACAAATGTCTGAAATACACATATTATATAGACCTACTGACACATATGTTACAGACCTACTGATATGAGTCACAGCACACATAAACATTTCAGACATTTGTAACGAACCTGTGCCCGGTCGCAAGATCACTCACTTTTAACGCTCTCAGTTTCACGCGTCTCGCATCCACCATTCCTCAGTTTCTGACGACATGTTAAATAACGAGGATTTTAAAGAATCTACCGACTGTTGTCAGGTTCCCATACAATCAACAAATACATTCACGCCTGGATTCTTCACTAAATGAGCAAAGAGAAAAGTTCGAATTAACTTCCAAAAATAACTCCCTCATTGAGGGCAAGGTCGGATTTACGGTGTCCATGCGCGAAATTTGTTCCGGGGGAAAATCGAAACAATTTAAAATCTAACTTTCAGCTCAGAGTTCTATTGATAAACTTAAATCAACCTATATACATATCATACGCAATTGTATTGATACTGAGTTGTGGAATAAATTTGAAGTGTTTGTTCAAATTTCAAAGTACTACTTTGTTTGCCAATCAGCATGCGACAATACGCTGTTCAAACTATTAAACGAAATTGTGTAATGTGGACTTTCGATAAGGCGGGCATTTGTAATTTTAAATATAAATTATAAGTTAAAAAAGAACATAAGAGGCAGAGAAAACGTAAATATAAGTATTGAACTGTTTGTGTATGTTATTTATGGTCTATTTGAATGACACAGCTTTGCAAGCAAACAATTCATAATGTTGTTTGCTTGCAAAGCTGTGTCATTCAAATAGATCATAAATACCATACACAAACAGTTCAATGCTTAAATAACTACCACCTGTCTATAAAGGTGACCTGTATATAAAGATCCCTTCATATCCCCCCTTAAGTGTTTATATACAGATCTTGTTATATACAAAAATACACACATGTATAGAACAGATGTCCACCATGATATTCTGGACCAACTTATAAGCCCAACCATCAAATTAAAATGACCAAATATAACATCAAAGAAATAAATCAACATTGAATGTAGTAAAATGTTTGACATTCAAAGCACTGTTGGTATTTATTTTCAATGGATGCCTCTTACCTTCCCCGGTCAATCAAATCCTCCGGTGTAGTTTATCTAACCCACCCATGTAACATCAAATTGATCAGGATTACTGTGTAAACTTTGACATAGAGCTACTTGAGGTAAAACACATTTAAATCATAGTCAAATACATATCAAAGAATAATAATTATACGGTGAAAACCGCCTTTTGTACATAAATATACCTTTATTATAGACATATCTTTAGCTTTCCAATACACAGTAGTCATTCTGTCAATGTTATTATGGAGGGTTTGAAATAAGTATCCATAAGTAGATGGCTACCAATACTTCTCAAACCC